GCCCAGCCCAGAAACACCGTCTTGTCCCAAATAAAAGACTTCCCCACCCTATATCCAACACTGGCCTCACACTGTCTGGCTTACTCTCTGTAGTGCGCACACATACAAGTGTGTGTCAGTGCCAGGCCCAGCAGGCCTGGTCAGGTCATTAATGACTTTATCAAGCTGGCTGATAATTAGCAGGCCAGAGGCCAGGCAGAGGGACACACTCATGGGGCAGGGCAGAGCTGTGGAAACCCCGTGACATCTCTGCGTCTCTGTGGTCTAAATGAACCGTGAAGACCTCGGTCCAGTTAACACCGGACATGAATGAACACTGCTTTACTTCATGGGTCTTTGTGCAATCATGTATATCTATAATAAAGTTAACATCCACACACTGCTGAAAATAGCTGCCATATAACTGTTTTTTCTTTGTTATAGCACTGTAAATCAAACAGGTCTTGGATTAAATTAGATAGTATATAGATTAAAGAACCACAATGGTGATTATCTGATAATTTAAGCTATATATCCTAGTAAACCTAACTGCAAAAGGCTGGGAAAATCTGATCTATCAGCTATATCAAAACTTTTGAGATTACCCCCGTCTTGTCACGCTAATACATCCAAAGGCCAAAAACAGTTTTTTTTAAAAAAACTGATACACAACATAGAGAAGCTGCAGTTAGTCACAGCTGTGAAGATAAACCACTGGAAATTTCATTCTGTTTTTTTGTTGTTAAGGCTCCTCTGACGTCTTGATTGAATCCTTTAATCGTTTTGGTGTTTCCTTAGAAAAAGCCAGCCCGGGTCCTGTGGCAGGAAGTTGTGACGGGTACATGTTCGACAGCGCTTGAATGAATAAATGAATCTAGAAATGTTACATAACAAAAGTAACCACCACACGCTTCCTTAAAGTGCCCTGCATTGTGAAGCAGCTAAAAATATATTTAGCGTTGATGTACTCATAAAAGACAACTGACATCATATCTGATTAAAAGAAGCAGCATGATAATTTCGCCTCAGCCCATAATGTGGCACACATGACTTCATGTGTGAGCTGTGGGAATTACAGTCTCTGCTCGCGAGATGGAACAAATGCTACTCCCACAATTGCCTCAGTTGGCCTATTTTTCGAAGCAAATAATAATAATAATAATAATAAAGTATCTCTCTATATATACCTATGACTCTATTTTGGAAGCATTTTTTTTTAACATCAATTCAGTTTGGTTGGGTTTGGAGCTAAAAACAAGACCACTAAACATATAACTCAGAGTGTGGAAGTTGTAATGGACAGCGAACAGAACAGATGATCAGCTGATTCATAGCATAAAAGCAGTCAGCAGAGTAGCAGAACATGAGCTGAGAATGAAAATAATTCTGAGTTGCAACATTGGTCTACTTCGTTTGTCCTCGGGACAGCCTCAGCCTAGATCCAGTTGGCTTCTGTGTGCCAGATATTAAATAAAGTTGAAAAGGCTGAGGAAGAGGAGGGGGTGGCCTTTCCTCTGTGTCACAAAGATCACAGGGAAAGAGGAAAAAGGAAGAAGTAGCAAGATGAAGAGGAGGGGGAAGTGGCAGGTTGTGTGTTTGCTTAAAAAAATAAATAAATAAAACAAATCCTGAGCTTGAATATAGAAATTTGAAAAAGATACATCACTAATTATGAGACATGCAGGAAATACATATGAGTTATTTACAGCTGGTTCCCAATGAGCATCCTCGTCCTCATCATCATCATCACTACCAAAAAGCAGCCTTTCTGTTCATCTCCAGAGTCTAACCGTATATTGAATGAGCTCACCCACCTTACAAGATTCATTTACAGAGGAAATAGGCAACAGTTGACGGCAGACAGACAGTGTGGCCAAAGCCTGAATCCCCCCTGTGAGTGATGGGCGAGTTGGCCGCCGATAATTGATTAGTTCAGCGTTCAGATCTGCAGCGAGGAGGTTTAATGGAAGGTAACGAGCACGTCGCCTTTTCACCGTCGTCGTCTTATCCACATCTCAAGCAGCACTGGGAGACGCATGCATCCCGACCCAGCCGCCTCCAGAGGGTCCAGTCCGGAAGTGTGGGCGTCAGTGGGGGGACGAGGGGATGAGTCTCAGTCGGTGCTGATGCTTGCTCGCTCTTTCTCTCTCTCACTCGCTTTCTCTCTCTCCCCGCCGGTTCACCTCATCACGACTCGGTGAGGGGGGCTGTTCTTCATCACTGAAGGCTGCCACATCATTCTGTGATGAGGGGCTGATTCAGAGGCAAGTCGTGCCTGCAGTTCCAGCTTTGGTCTCTAGGTGGAGGCGCAGGCGCGCTCTCAGGGACTGGTATTATGTAATAAGGCGACGACGTTAACGCATCTAATTATCGAGTCAGAGACGGATTATTTAAAGCGACACTCAGCTACGGCTCCTAGTCTGCGCTGCGTGTTACCAGGTATGAACAATATAACCCCGTGACGTCACTGTGATGTCATCTGGCTGGGTCTTTAGTGTTCCTTAAGACACATAGAGACTTTTGCTGCTAATATGTGGACTGTCGCTTTTTAATAAAGAACCAGATATCTTGAATATGCAAGAATTTTAATTACTGAATCTGAATTTAATTATAAAAATATCTCATTTATGTAATTTTCTGTTTCTGTGGGGGAATTAATGAGATATGCTACAGAAACCAAGATGGGCAGAAATAGCTCCTCACACTGACACGTTTTTCAGTTATCTATTTATTTACTGGCAACCCCTTACATACATTACAGGTCAGAATATCTCCCCCTTTGATGCTTCAGTCTTGACTATTTTATCATTTCAAACCTGACCTTGGCAGGTCGCTCGAACTTAGGAAGAGGCAAGAGATCTGATAGCTGATAGGTGTGCTCTGTTTTTGGCTTTTTTTTAAAATTTTACTCAGAGGGATACTTTTTGCTCCACCTGATCTATTGGAAAACTATTAATTATAAATATATATTGTATGGTTAATTTCTAAATATTCACTGCTGACATCTGGGAGTTTCATGTCACAGTTAATTTTTAAAAAAAAGTTTGAGCACTATAGAGGAAAATAAAAAAGTATTTGATTAGATTTTTTTAAACATCAACAAGACCAAAACACACTTGTAAGTTTGTGCAGCAGGATGTTTTCCCATCAATAGGTGAGCAGCTACAACGGCAACAGCTTAGACAGTATTGTACCTGTATTAACAATCTAATAGCATCGATCTATGACATGAGACACTGCAGTGGATGAGGAGATGTGCATTTGGCTGAAAACCCATCAGTGCTTTTAAAGAACCGGGACTGAATACATGAGTATGTGGAGTCATGTTGATCCTGTGACTCACATACAAATGTTCATTACTCTTAGGCACTGGGGTTTGAAAGTAGTAGGGATGGGTAAACTCAACATTACAGATAATCCCACGTTTCTGTCCACATGATTCGACCTACAGTTTACAGGCACGGCAGCAGCAACAGGAATTCTTGCTGTTCGCTTTAACTGAAAGACTCGGTGAGATAGTTTTTATTCACGAGAAAGTGATGCCATGAAAATGTGCCAGACATTTGGTCTGAAGAGGTTAACGAATTGATTGCTTTAATGAAACGTGTGTATAGCAGGGCATCGCCAAACTGTCTGATATATAACACCAAGAAGTTGTAAAATTGTTGTTTTGTACTCATGGCGGGTTTTTCAAACGTGTGCTCGTTAATTTTAAGCATTATATTATCTAACCAGTACGTTTTAGGATGATGCAAATTTTATAAAAATTGAATAATATATTACATTACAACATTGTTTTTATACAAAATATTAGCTTTTCCCCAGGTTAGAAAAAAATAACCTCATCTGCGTCACATGAGACAGCAACTTTTCTCAGTTAAAACTGCAAGTGTTCGAACTTTGAACTTAAGTTGTCCATCTGTATAGACAAATAAACAATGAGCTGCCAGGTTCAAAGTCCTTAATCCAGATTTAAACAGACGTAAACACACACACACACACACGAACCAGATTCTACTGAGCACTTTAACAGTAATCTTTTATTAAATGCATATTATGACCAGCATAAGCGTTTAACAATTATTGCAGCATTTTATTCTGATTAATAGAAAATGCCTGCTTTAAGCAGTCAGCTCAGGCTGAGCTCTAATCTAAGTCATTAAGTACCGTTTGCAGACATGTGGTCAGTCCCTCTGTATACAGCACTGAATGAAACAAGCTCAGCATAAAGCTTCAGAGAGATCGCAAACACTGTTTGAACTGAAGTCTGCTCGTTGAACCTGCATATATAAAAAATATACCTGATTAAAATAAGGCCAAGAAGCTTTGGGTAATAAGGCAGCAGTTTTTCTCCATAACTCCGGGAGCAACTTTGGTCGGAGAAATGTAAACTTCAGTTTAGACTATCTTCAAGTCCTTCATGGCAGACTCCAGAGACTGAAAAGACATTGACAGACATGTGAAATCACTGTGGTAGTCAACACCTGGCAATCCTGCATGTCTGTGTCTGTCTGTGTGTTACCTTGACATCCCAAATACCCATTCCTCCATCCATACCAGTGGTGCAGAATTTGGTGCACTGGTTTCTTCCTCCTTCCAGCACAGAGATTTGGCTGAAATATTGTTTGAGACGTGAGAAAGCCAAGTAGTAACATATCATTTGTTTTATGGTTTTCATAGCTGTATTTAAAAAAAATATCACTTTAACCAAATCCCCTCTCATACCCAACCACACATCACCACTCGGTTTTTGGGGGTTTTAATTTTCATGGATACGAAGCACTTGTTTTCTCCTGACCTGATGCTGTTCTTGTGGAGAGTGTTCAGGTCCTTGTCGGTGTTCTGGGTCTCCGAGGCTCGACGGTCCAGGTTCTGAAAACGCTCCCTGGCGCTGATGCCCTTTTGGGCCGCCTGCTTAGGAACATCCAGTTTGCCACCAAATGTCAAGCTGCCTTTGGCACCGTCATACACAAACAGCACCGGGAAACAATCATGTCCCTGGAGGAAAAGACATACAAAAGGAGATTTTACAATATCAGGTTGGAAATATGAGAGACTAGACTCTTGTTTGTTATTCTGGATGCTAAAATAGATACAGCCAGAAAGCTCCATTTATTCATTTATTTACATTATTCATATGGAGACACTGGGCCAGAAAAGTTTGGGATATAAAATTATAAAATTACTTTAAATTAAATTAAAGGAACTGTTGTGTGTGCGTGTGCTGAATAAATGAATACTCACAGCTGCTACCAAGCTGTTCTCAGTAATGAAGGTGACACACAGCAGAGGAAGTGTCTCCGAGCTGAGACTGGTCAACCTGTGGAAGTTGTAGCAAAAAGTCAGAGTGGAGCACAAAAAGCAATGTAAACACACAACACGCCCAGCTACGCTGCTCTGCCTTCACTTACGTGCCGTTCTTGCCGCCCTCGGACACACACAGAGTTGAGTCATGGGAGGTCCAGGCCAGGCGGTTGCCAGAGTGCGAGAAGCACACGCTGTGCACCCAGCCACCACTTCCTCCTGAAGTCTGAGCTGCTGCTGGAGACCCTCCGGACTCAAAGAGCAACTCCCCAAAGGGCATCTTGCTACCCCAGGGAGTGGGCCCAGGCTTCTCCTCCACCTCCTTTATGTAGGCTGAAAACACTCTGTGAGAGTGAGGGTGGAGATATATTGTTATTTTGAAACCCACATGCCATATATCATGGACTGTATGAGGACTTTCCTTTTTTATATATATCTAGGAGTAGCGTCAGTGTTGGGCTGTACACGAAGCTTTAAATTTAATAAAGCTGAAAGCTAAGCCTGTCTGTGACATACCTGCATTTGAAATCGCAGGATCCAGCAGCCAGCAGGGCGTTGTTGGGGTGCCAGTCCAAACTCAGGATTGTAGAGCGGATCGGCTTCTTAATGTGCTTACACACCCACCTGCAGATAACAAGAGATGGTTGCTAAAATCTCTCCAAGGGCGCTTCTTAGTATTCAAATAAAGCTTTCTGTGTATATTAGTGATTTCACTCACCAGTCGTTTTCCTGCTCAAAATAGCAGACGGAGATGAGACGAGAGCCGCTGCCAACAGCAAATTTGTTCTCTTTGGGTGACCATTTCACACAGCGAGCGGCACGGTTGATCCTGAGGATGACCAGGGTGGGCTTCCACGTTCCCTCTTTCAGGGTCCACACATAAGCGTTACGGTCTGCTCCACAGGTAACTATACGGTTACTTTCCGGAGCCCAATCGATACCTGCGAGATTTAAAAAAAAAAAAAGACTCTCAGGAACACATTTCCACTCACTTCTCTATATTACATCAAATAGGCAGAAAAGGAAGAAGAGCTCTGCTATTATCAACGTCTCAAATGCATCCAAAATAAATAATTGGCTAAAAATCTATAGAGAGTCTTTTTTCTTTATCTTCAAAGAGATAAAAGTAACTGTGCAGTGACTGGGATCTACTTTGATGTCTTTATACTTACTGGCAATCTACATAGCCGGCAGCTGATTACAGTAGCTTAAGACAATGACAGGAAATTGTGAAACCAGTGAAGTTTCAGTAGAAGGAGCATACACTACAACAAAAGTATTGAGCCGCACCTTTCATATAACTCACTTACTTAGTTTGTGTTAAAGTAATGCATTATTATGGGCATGGGCACTTTGATAGGGGCAGGTGTTAGCTGGTAGCTATGTGCTAGCTGTCACTTCTGCTAAGCTAAGTCGCCCCTGGTGGAGTGTAAAGGTACTGCAGGTGGGCTGCAGTTACACCAGAAATTACTCACAAGTATGTACATTTATACATAGTTTATACTTGTTTTGAAGTTTGTGTCCCAGTAGCAGGTGGGTCACACATTAGCCTAAATGCTTTCCATATGACTGGGTAGCATTAGCGATTTATAGACAACAGTCTGTGTTCTTTGAGTTTTTTGAATAAAATTTTCAAGGAAGTACATCACTTCTTCTTGTATTTTGATTAGACTAAAGATTAAAGATCGTGGTATTTCCTGGTGTTTAAGGAGGCCGCAGCACTCTTGACTTTGGGAATGGCTGATCTGATGCTTGACATTAAGCAATATGAACATTAATAATCACATAGAGGTGGGAAATGTTCCTACAGCTTGATTTATTTTGTACCACTGGATAAGGCAACCACAGATTTAGCAATACTGGAAAGCTGGATGGCCGTTTCCTTGATATTGATTTAGGCAGATCCCAAAAAATGATGGAAACTTGTGCTCGATGTCACAGAAAAACCTAAAGTATTCTACAAAATCTTGTATTTTCACTTTCAGAATTGGTGAACTTGAGTAGTGGCTCTGAGGTTTAGGGGTTAACACGTTCGTCTTACATGCAAACCAAACTTCAGTTGGTCTCAAGCCAGTGCTGCTTCCAAGACCAAACAAACATGCAGATCCGACCCTTTGGGAAATAAGGCAATGTCAGAAAGTCCCTAACTAGTTTTAGTGTTGCTGTGTCTCACCTGTCACCTGCCCGTTGTGTTCCTTCAGCTCATGGATTTTGGTCCACTTGGTCCCATCTTTCTTATAGATGTGGACCTCGTGGTTGTTGGGGCACAGGGCAATCTCTGTAGCGGAAACAAAGAAGTTTGTGTTTCAAACCATATCAGCACAGTTGGTCAACCGTACGAACACAATATTCATCATGGACAAAGTACAGCGTGACTGACACGAGAAGCTTTACAGCGGGCTGCTCAGTGGGGAGTAACACAGAAGAGCTGAGTGGGCACATGAGAAGAGAGAAATAAAAAAAAAAAACACCGTATGTATGAGCCTGGAGGCAGCACACAGACACACAGCATCTTTAAATAGAAAGCGCACAAGACCTGCGACCTTTGTTTTTTGTAACGTTGTAGCAAAGGCTGCATGTTTTAGTCAGCAGATGAGTCAGTGAAGCAGTGTTTGTCCTGGAACAGCAGTGTGGCTTACTTCGGTGTGCTTTTTTTTTTTTCACAGAATGACTAAACTGTTCCTTTTGCAAACCTGAGTGAAACTCGAACAGCCTGGTTTAAGCGTCTCTTACATCCGCTTTGCCCAGAAACCAAAGCACTGATGAAAAACATCCATATAAGGCTCTGGTTTCCTCCAGCTAACGGAGTGTAAGAACCACTCAGAGAGGCCTCCAGACGCCGCCGCCACTGTTACAGGAAACAGGAAATACCTTCTCCCACCTGGGAGCCAGTTGCAAACCTTGGGCTGTTACAGCACTCTGTCACAGACTGTAGTCAGAGCAATATGCACCCATGATGTTGTGCTCAGCTCAAAGATGAGACCACTGGAAGTCACTGATGAGCAAATGAGTGACCAATCAGAGAGGGCGGGCAGACTTACGGGATCGATCTTTGTTCCAGGCATGGCAGCTAATTGGTTCCAGCAGGAAGCTGTGGTACGCCATGACCAATCAGATGTTAGAAGGAGATCAGGAAGTAGTAGGAGAGGAACCAGAGGCTGGTGGGCTGTCAAGTCTTTAAAAAAAAAAAACAGAAGTTGCATTTCATGTTGAAAGCAGGAAGTGTTGAAGGACACGAAGAAATGTAAAAGTCTTTTTATTGAATGAAACCGTGAAATGATCCAAAGTGTTTGATACGTAATGAACTGACTTAAACTCTGTTTGTGGGTGAAACACGCTAAACTTATCTCACTCAGAGCGAGATAAATGTTAATGAAATCCAGACTTTCAGAGGAATGACAGAAACTATGCAGGTCCAAGGTAACGGACATCCCCACAAAAAGAGAAAAAAAGACACTCAACCATTAGAGGAAGCAACCAGGGGAAAAAAAAAAATCAAATTTCTCTCATTTCTATCAGATACTTCACAAACACTAAAACACAAATGTGTGGGAAGCACGATCGCCTGTAGCACGCTTTGGACATTTCTTTGCAGAAAATGCATTATACTCAAATATGTGTGTGTGGGTGGGTGGGTGTGTGAGTGAGTGCCTAAGCACACTCAGTCAACTGTTAAATATTTTCTAGGCTACTTACCCCCGAGGGCAGGACAGAGATGAATGGGTGAGCTGAAGAGATGGGAAAGAGATTTTAAAAAAAGAGAGTAGAGAAAACAGAGGAAAGTAGCGGATCAAATAAAGTGGAGGGTGTTCAGCTCGCGGACTCTGGCCAGTCAACGCGAACGCCAACGACAGAGTGAGTGCAGGAAGAGAGAGAAGCTGAGCTGAAGAGAGAGAGGGGAGGAGAGGTCAGAGGGGGAAGTGGAGGAGGGTACAGTGAAGCTCAGAGAGGGGAGACATGCAGGAAGTTTCTGCAGGTTTTTCAGTTCTAAAATAAAGAAATCATGGGCGTGGCGCGAGGAATGTGAGAGAAGGGGGACCAAAACTGTACTTTTTCTTTAATTGAATTTTAACATTATTAAACAGGAACAGAAAAAAAAGTGTTAAAGGTAGTAAAAGAGGGAGGGGCATAAACACAATACAATGTTATGCACAAAGGAGGAGGCTGAATCTGAGGGGGGGGGAAGCAAAAAAAAAAAAAGGAAAAGAAAAGCATGAAAGACACGGAAAAGAAGGGGGAGGGGCGTACGGGGCTGTCTGCATAAAGAAAAAGGAGGAAGTGAAAGAAGAGGGAGGAATCTGCAGGGAGGAGAGGGTGGCATCAGGAGGAGAAAGGGGTTGGCTCTACACTGGATTTGCTATTATTTGTCTACCAGTTACATTATGTGTCCTGTTCTTCATTTATCTTCTTGTTATGATCGCACGCCAACTAGTTTTACCCCATTGCATCACTGCAGTGCAACCTCAAACATTCAGCTATGAAAACAAGTTAATTTGCTTTTTATTGCACAATCACTTGCAAACAGTGTGTGTGGAAACCACTGGAGCTCTTGTTGTTGCGTTTATAGATCTGAAATCTTTTTTTACTGTAAGTCCCGTCAATGTTTCTTTGAACACTGACTGGACTATCGTCTATTCATTAGACTTTAACTGCTATGTCAAAGCGTTTCTTTTAAGCTTTCCATATAAGTTTTCAAGCTTTTAAAGAAGCACGTTGCCTTAATCACTTTTTTCTTGGCAGCAGCAGATTTTCCTTACTCCTCATAATTTCCATTTGGGATTAAAAGGAAAAGCATAAAACTGGCAGTCAGTGAGAGCCTTGAAGCTAAGGTTAAGACTGAGTTTCATGCCGTGCTGCTTACTTGTTTTATACGGGTGAGCTGCTCTGTTCACAGGTACTTTTGTTTCCAATTTGGAGTTAAGGAACTTCAAATGGGCCTAAATCTCACACACACTCATAAGACACTTCATTTAATTTCCCAACCTTTATTGGAAGACAGTGTATTATTTTTCTTTTTAATTTTGGGACTTTAATGACTTCAGATACTGCCAAAATACTGTCAACTTGTTTAAGAAATTGCTTGTACAATTACAGTTAGACTGATTATGTGTGGAAAGTAAAAAGGATATTTTAAAGATCCACAGTGCTAGTAGTTTCACCTAACGAGTGAAACACCCATTCCCATGATCTTGGAAGGAGACACAAATTCCTTGTTAACACCAAGCGCATCATATTTGACAAAGACCTCTATATTATCAGTGTGACTCACATGTAACTGAATAGTTTACAATTAAAATGGCAAAAAGCCTAAAAAAGGCCAATTTCCGGAAAATAATTCAAGGGTGAAAACTACAAAGGGTTCAAAAAAAACAAAACAAAAATGTGTTGACCCCTTGCGAATGAGGAAGCAGCTGAAGCCTTCTTTAACCTCCTAAGACCTGAACTCTTTCATGGCATGCATTTTTGATTTCTCTTTGCTATTTGGACTGATTGGGACCTGATAAATGTAAAAACAAAGAATTATCTTTTTACCTGACTTTACTCTACAAGGTCCTGATATCCACATATGACGACATTAGTTTTACATTTCAATAGAAGAGTGGGAGTATAATGTCCTCGTAAGTGGATATCAGGCCCTTGTAGAGCAAAATTTAGCATTGTGGTTTAGACAACCCAAAATGTGATGTCCACATATGTGGACATCAGGTCCTTTGAGGTTAAAGATATTTCTTTGATTTTTTTGAAGTCTTAGAAGCGTTATTTACTTTTGCACCAGCTTCAGGAAGCTGCAGGTTTTCATTTCTAGCTCATCTGGTCATCTTGAAGTGCCAACAAAGACAATGAAAAAGATGACCCACTATAACACCCACTATTCAGTGCGTTCACATCCCAGAATGTCAGCGGCGTACTACGTCATCCCACTCATGATTCTTCACAATTTGCAGCTCACTGTAACAGGTAAAGTATGGGGGAAGAAAGCGATAAATTTGATTGTATTGGTTGGTTTGATTGTATTGTTGCACTGAATACAATAATGAGAATTAAAAATCCACAGAGGATTCAAGGAGTCTTGAAAACAGTCATATCCAGGACAACTTAATCTTGTTTCACTAAAATACTAGGATGAGAAGTATTGATTCCTGTGAAACTGGTGAAAGGACCAAATATAAACCTTCAGCACAGTTTAAGTAAAGACCCAATAGGCGATCGATGCGTACACTTTTCAGTAAAACCAGAACAATACTCTAGGAGTCGCATTCTTAGTGAACTGTGGAGGGATGCCCAACTTGTTCGTCCGTCCTTCGGCTAAATGAGCTAAAAATCATTGCGGTGACGGAAAGAAGATATAACCTTGTTTACTAAAAATCCGCACAGAGAAACATTAATGTTCCAGAATTTTTCAGAAACTCCAAGATTTGCATTTAGCTGGGCCTTCACTAACCTATGACAAGCAGAAATATGAATTATATATTGTAATTTGACACACAAATTACCATCTGTCCACATACACAAAGGAAGAGCACAGTCATTTGAGTTGAGTACTGTAAATGTATTTCATCTTTATTTCATGTCTACTCATGATCAATTACATAGAAATCCTCCATCTTGTGTGGTTTTAGTGTAGGAGCTACAGAGCCTAGTGTTGGCCAGCTGTCACTCCACACAGAGTTCAGACAGCTGCTTTCTCTCTCCACCATCAGATTCTGTACAACTCCCAAAAGCCAACACGCAACATGTACTCAGAATATCAGTAACCCCGGGTCCTAGTGATAACAAATTCGCCCGCTGAAGAATACAAACTATCCTCCAGTAAAACGTCTACTTTTGGTCTACTAACTGTTGATATTCCGAGAGCATGTTAAGGTTAGCATGAGGTGGAATACAGTCTGATTTTTGGATAAAATGCACCTTTTAGTGTTCAACTTTTGGTACAGGAGGTTAGAGAACATAAAAACACACATTTCACGTCACGTCTAATACGTGTCAGAGGACCTTCCCACTTTGACACCTGGTTAACCTTCGTTTAAAAGCAAACAAAATAGGGGGAAAAAAAAATCAACAGTGAAGTCACACGTCAGCTCAGCGTGTGTAGTGAGTGTGTATGTGTGTGAGTGAGTGAGTGTAAGCACACACTCACAAGAGTGTGTTATGGTCTGATCAGTGCTTCAGCAGACACTCGAGAAAGTATGTATGTTACTGGCTGCGTCGCGGGAGTGGAGGGAGGGCCGGGGTGAGACGGAAAAGGGGCAAGAGGGGTGAGGGCAGGGGAGGAAAAGGGGGAGAAGTGAGGCCGCAGCGTCTCTCCGTTCATTCAAAAGGTTTCTTCACATAATGCGGAGACCCTGGATAGAAGCTTCTAGACTCTGAGGAGGAAAACACATGACAGAGAGTTAGTGATGGAAGACTCAGAAAAAGTTAACTCACAAAAAACAGAACACTGTTTCTGTGCATTTTTACCTTGAAGTCCCAAATGGTCATTGCTCCATCGATACCTGTGGTGCAGAACTTGCGACAATCCCTTTTGTCTCCCTCATAGATAGACACTTGGCTAAGAAACAAACACACACAGGTGATGATGTTGACAAGCCTTTCTTGTTTTCGTTGTGATCTTGGTGGGAAATTTGCTAAAATGCTTATCTGCTGCTAGTTAAATGGTAGTGGTGACAAAAAACTTC